AGGTTCAATTCTGCAATTTATTAAGGTGGGTAAATTATTATAATTTCTTTTTATTTATTTATTAATTGATATGTAAGGAGTAGGATGTATGTGTTAATAAAAACGTTTAGTAGTATGAACCATCATTTATTTGATATAGCAATTTATTACATTGGTTAAATATTAAATAACATTATCTTTATCAATCCAAGAGTTTTTTGAAGATGGAAAGCCTAACCACTTAACAAGAACCTTATTGTCTCTTTTCTTGATCACTTTTTCAACTAGGTAAACGTCACTATGCTTTACCTTTGTCAGTTCCTCTTGATAAAATCCTCCAGATATTGGTTGGTTTTCAGCATCAACCAATTTATATGTAACTGGTTCTGTCTGTTGTACTTGCACAATACGAAATATTTCAGTTGAATAGTTTGGAGTATAGGCCTTTTCAAATTCACCTTTGTATTTGCTTACACGTACATAATCATTTATCTCAAATTTTTGTTTTATTTTGTATTTTGGTGCTTTATATGAGTAAACTGTTTGGAGCAATTCATTTTCATGCTTTCGAGTAACATCACAAGGTTTCATTTTTATAGTAGAATGCTTTCTTGTATTGTAGAATTTCATTAATTCTTCAAGTATGTTAATCCAGTTGTAATTTCCATTGATGGTAAATGTTTTCCACATGATGTTTTTTAATGTGCGGTTAAATCTTTCAACAACACTAGCTTTTAAGTTGCTGTAGGTAGAATAGTGATTAATCTTGTATTTCATCATTAATTTTTTGAATTGCTCATTATAAAATTCAGTACCGTGATCAGATTGAATATTTTTTGGAATTCTACCTTGTTTGAATACATGCTCCATAGCTAAAGTAATTTCCTTAGCAGTTTTAGTTTTGAGAGGTTTTGACCAAGCATATTTTGAAAACACATCAATTATTGTGATAATGTATTTATAACCTTTATTAAATTTAGAATATTTAATCATGTCAATTAAATCACACTGCCAATGATTATCAAATCCTTTAACAACAACTTTACGTCTTATGAAATTTTTTCTTACTGGTTTGTGTAGCTCATTGGCAATATCTTCCTTAATACCCATTTTAAAGATTTAATTTATAACTCTACTCTCCTTAAGTTCCGAAATAATATTTACTATTTCGTTGTTATGACTGTTGTTACCAGCTGCTTCAGATGCTTTTAGTATTCGCAGTCTATCGATTATTTCATTCACATCATCATAATGTACATAGTCTGGTGCACATGGATAAGTATCAAGTTTCATGTATTGTGTTTTTAACCCACTTCCCTTTTTAAATAAGCTTTTTATATAATTTCTATATTTGAATGTATTTGTTGCTTGAATCTTTTCACCATCGTTGTACTTGACCAAGTGAGCATTTGTGAGTAGTAATATGTCTTTATAGGACTGCAAATCAGCTTTTGTAATGAGTGATTTATTTGGTTTCTTTTTAAACATTAATTCTAATAATCCTCTGGTAGGCTTGAAACTCGAGTTATTAATTTGTATAACATTTTCTGGTGATAAATATCTGATTTTACTGTTACCAATCATCCATTCACCATGTTCTCCCAAATAGACTCCATATGTATGATCCATTTCGTTTTTTACATTTTTAGCAGACTTTACTATATAGTCGTTGAATGATTCATCATTTTCACTTTCAGACTCTGATTCCCCTGATATTTGCTCACTGCCAGGAGCTAGGCTTTCCTTATCAGCATAATCATCTTCTCGGTTTTCCATGGGCAACAAGGGTTCAGTTTCACTATCGGTTTTTTTAGTTTTTAAAAATAAGGTTTTCACTTTTCTTTTTTCATTTTTTTCTTTAATATTTCTTACTATTTCAGTAATTGATTCTACAATTGGTTTAAATTTCTTTTTAAATATTTCTTCATCTTCAATAGTACCTCTTTTTAAAGGTAAGTATTTTTTTCTAACCGCATTACTGGTTTTAATCAACTCTCTCTTAAGGTCCATACTCTTCTGAAGATAAATGTAAACTGTGTAGTTGTTTTACTGTTATTCTTTTATAATGAATTTATCAAAACCATTACGATATCTACCGTTTTTAAAATCACTTTCCTTATCAATGACTAAAAAGCCATATTTTTGACCCCAACATGTTTGACACATTTTTTGAAATTCAAAAAATGTCATGTCAGGGTTTACATGATTATTAAATATATGTTTAAGATTATTACTATCCTGCTTGAAAATAATTAACATATTTGCATTATCTCTTATTAACTGTTTTGGTACTCGAGTATATGATTGACAAAGATAAAAACAGTCAACATCTTTATGTCGACCCATACTAAAGAATGCGCTTACGTTGTTTTGCTTATCACATATTATATCATCAAATATAAATATTGAGTTTTTCTTTGCATGACATGGTTTAATTACTTCCTCATTTTCAGAATATTTGTAATAACCAACACCTTTTACTTTATTTAAAACATTTTCTAAAAATGTATATTTTGGCTGATATAATGATTTTGAATAAATGTAAATGTTTTCAAACCTTAAACCATTTGGGTCGGTAATCAGGCTTAACAATACTGCAGTTTTCCCACATGATGAGGGCCCTGCTATTATACAACGAATTGAGTTAGGAAGAAGTTTGCTATGTCTATGTCTGGAAGATGTCTGTTTCCAATCAAAACTTTCTATATTAATTTTCTGTTTCTGTTTTAAGACCTTCATTTTTAATGTCATAAACTAGGTGACCTTCTAGTTCAAAGTCTTGTCATAAAATGATGATAATGCGCTAAAATTATAACTTATGTTAACTTAAAAATAGTGAGTTAGGGAATTAAAAAAGTATATAAAATTAAAATATATTTATTTCCAAATTGTCCTATTTTCCATTCTATGATATAACAATATCATTCTTTCTATAGCAAGTTTTACAGAATTAATTTTTAAACTACCAAAACTATTTAAAAACAAAGAATTAATTTTACTGTCTTTATCCTCTCCAGGATGGTGAGCAAAGCTGTGGATGAAGTCAGCAGTATCTTGACCTGAAGAACGGTGTTTCAAGTATAATAGTATGCATTTCCCACAAACATCGAACAGGTCACTTTGTACTCTCACATGGTTATAGTCCCATTTTGTGCAATATTTTTCGAGGAACAAAAATATCTTGTAAGGAGGAGGTAGTCCATGGCTATCGAAATATTCTCCATGTTGGAATTTGTCAATAAACACTGCAACCCAATGATTTCCCGTGTTAAAAATATACGAACTTGGATATTTGATAAAACGATGTGTATTTACTCCTGTGTCAAATATGCCATTGAAATGCTGGGCTATATGAGGATCTCCTGAAATAAAAAGTTCTAGTTCTGCTGCGTACATAATTGGCAATGCTCCTTCTTGAGTGGTGGCCCGTCGATGTGGTCCACGTCCTCAGGCTTATTGTGGTGATTGGTACAATAGATGAGATCTCTCAGTTTACTCTTCGTGCAGCTCGGAAGAAAGTCCCACACATACTGGAGGTCGGGCAGTGGTACGTGATGGACTATGTACTCTTTTGGGAGATATGATATTTCCGGTATGTGTAGATTCGTTAATGACGGATTTCCATATTCATCACGTTTATTAAATTTACCAATTATTTCACCAATTTTTCTAATAATGTTTTCTTCTGTTTGTAAAAGTGCAGACTTTTTCAAAATATTATCTGTATACCAGTTTAGAAGCAATCGAACATTTTCACTAGCACATTGATCTGATTTTTGCATGTGATAAAAGCATTTTCTGAAGCGTGTTTGTTTTCTTAATTCATTTATTCTTGGACAAAATATTGTGTCCATATCGAAAACACGTTTATTCTTGTCTGCTAAAATACATTTAATAACAGTTTGATTTTCTGAACCTTTGACATAAATTGAGTCATAGTTTTCTAAAATCTTATTAAAAACATTCTTCATTTCATGATAAGGGACAAATCCATCATTCCAGTCCATTCCGTGGTAGAAGTTTTTCACCCATGATGCAACCTTTTGCTGTGTTTCAGGTAGAACTGACAGAGGATATGGAGATTTGCTAACTAATACTACACAGTTATTTTTCTCTTTTACTGACCGTTGTTGTGGCGCTGGGAGATTTTTCTCTTTAACTCAGCGAGGCGCTTCGTCTGATCAATTGACAGATCCGCACCAGCGCTGACAACGGTGACAGCATCAGCATAGTCAGCAAACTTCGTCTGCACTGAAGATATCTTGGTGCAGTACGGCAATTTCATCCGGTACGTGATTTCATCCCGCTTGGTTATCTGAAATAAACAATTACTTAGTAAAATAAATTATGATCAATATTTAATCTATATTTTAAATCTTTCAAATATTATACATACAAATTATAAATATAATTATATCTTTTTTTTATATCATGAATATAGATATTACTAATTATCAAATTTAACCCGCAGTATTTTTGTCTGTTTATATTTTATTAATTTATGGTTGTTAAAGTACATTTTTACTCAATTAAATACAATGTTTTTGTCAAGATAATTATCTCTATATAATAACTTTGCAATATTTGTTCCAAAATAATCAGTAATATATATTTATAATATTCATATAGTTATTATTTAGCATTATTTGTTTCAACATGATTAATACAGTTTGTCCCCATCCGGATAATATTTAAAAATGCCATTTATATTAATAATTATTCAGGTTTATAATAAAAAAATACCCTCATATAAATATCGACTAAAACAATTATTTCAGTTTAAATTTATGATTACTATTTATTCATACAAGTCTATTGATACATTTAAGCTCATATGCCAAAATTAGATACTAAATCAAATAGTTATTATAAATAAAATATATTAAAACTATCTTACCTCAACATTTGCCTGAGGAAATATAGATTTGATTACGATGTACAAGTCCTCAATATTGTCCAGTCCTGCACCCTCCACCAGGCTGATATCCCAAACGCTGGGAGTGGTAAGAGCCGATGATGCCATGCTAGGAGATGTAGGTAGTGGTGAGCAGAAAGACTGGAAGTGGCAATTCGCAGTGAAGATACTGACGTTGGTATCCAGTCATGGGGTTATATACCATTCAACAATCGCGGTAAAGGTCATTGAATCAGGCTATCGCGGCGGGGAGGGCAATGAGTGCAACCAGCGAGGCGTGCACGTGGTGAGACCGTCACGGTCATTCACACGGACACGTCCTCTAAAAACACATCCAAGGTTGTGATAGCGATAAGTCGCGCTCATTAGCGCGAACAAAGGCTACTACGATAACACCTCGCTCATTATGCAACTTCCGTCAGATATGTAAAACGCAAAACAGAACTTCAACTATAACAGTAAGTATTCCTTCATACAAATACTCATTATTACAATTAACCAAATCTGCTTTAGCAAACAAATCAGAAATATAAATATACTAAATAACTTTAACCTAAACAGTTAAACTAATTTAGTTTATATTTTTAATAATAAAAAATCAGCTATATTAACTCACTCATCTTAACTTGTAAAAACTCAAAACACCAGTTTGCACATATAAGTCGATGTCTACAACATCATCCTACTAACAATTATAGCTTACACATCGACACTATTATTTGTTATATTTTAAGACAACTAATTGCACATATAATCACATAGTACAACTAACAAACATATCAAATTAATTGTTTAAAATGTAAAATATGGTCAGATGGTACGATTACTTATTTTAAGGATTATCATAAGTTAATTGTTCCTTCGTTAACCTACTCACCAAACCATAAACAATTACAATCCCCAATCTTCACAGTCCCATGGTTCGGAACAATTATACCTTCCTACACCGTTACGCACCAAACCATGAAACGTTAATTATACCTTCCCACGCAGTTACGCACCGAACCGTGCCAAATTACGCTCCACCATCTGCACGCTCCTACCACCTGGGCTCGCCGGTCGAATTGAATTTTATTTTTACAAAATGGATTTTTTCACCATTTATTTTTGCATGGTGTTTCGCTCGCCCCTTTTATATCTACTGACCTTGGCAACGAATCCACATCGACTTTGCAGGTCCAATATATGGGCAATACCTTTTTGTTTTCGTTGACGCCTATTCAAAGTGGGTTGAAGTCATACCAACCAAAACTACAACATCTAATTGGTGCATTCAACAGCTCAGAAAACTCTTCTCTACCTTTGGTTACCCGTTCACGTTAGTCTCTGACAATGGCCCTAACTTCACATCATCCATCTTCAACAAATTTCTGCAAGCTTGTGGCGTCACACACAAATTCTCTGCCCCCTATCACCCTGCAACCAACGGACAAGCAGAGAGATTTGTTCAGACTGTAAAGAAACAGTTAATAGCAATGGAGAATGATGGAGGAGATTTGCACTTCAAAATAAATCACATCCTAATGTCACTAAGGAATGCCACAAATGCTACAGGGTCCTCGGCATATGAACTTATGTTTGGGAGACGGATAAGGACAAGGCTGGATCTTATGAAGAAACCCCAAGATCACACAGGAATGCCCGACGAATGTACTAAAATCAAAAGAGAGTTTCGGGCGGGGGACAGGGTTCAGGTACGCAAACGCAATTTTGGAAAAGACGGAAAGTGGAAATTTGGAAACGTGAGAAGGAGAGAAGGATTGATACATTATCAAATCGAGATGGACAATGGGCAGGTTTGGAGAAGGCATATTAACCACATTCGGCCGTGTAAATTTGAGGGGGAGGATTAATAAGGAGTTGTCATCAACATCTGATTTCTTAATACACATGGTTTATGTTATTGTTTTCTAATGTTTATGTTTGTGTTTATATAATTGTCATTCAGTTAAAATGGTTGAATAAAATAGGTTGTACATTCTCTTGTATCATGTTTATTATATAATTTAAGGACTTGATACCGTGTTTTTTTATATAAACACAAAACTTGTCTATCGTGCTCATTATGTTGAAAATGTAAGAGGTTTTCGTTGTAATCTTAATTTTTGTGCAATAATAAGCCAAGATGTCGTCAAACTAAACTTTTAATTTCAACCCTGATACCGTTATAATACATATCTGATTTTTAAACGAACGTATAATAAAACAATTAAAAATAACTATACAGAGTGATTGATATAAGTGTGCCAGCCGTTTGATTCTAAAACTATAAGAGATATAAAAAAGTTCATTAGTAAGTGCCTTGGATTTTTTATTAAAAAAAATGTAGTCAAGTTGAAAAAAATATTTTAGCCACCATTTTTCCATTTTCCATTTTCATCAACGTAAAAAAACCCCGTTGAGCTTTATATCTCTGAAGATGAGTATAGAAATTTGAATCCGAAGTGTTGAATCCAGGTACTAGGTAAGTCGATTGCAAACTTCTGGCAATTACCAACTTACGGGTGTTCTCAACATTCCTACTTAAGCAGCTCTAGCCTCGTAGTTCGTCACCTTTCTCTTTTTATAAATGTCACCTTTAATACTAGATAGAAGGAAAGTAGCAAAAATAAAGATTTTATTTGGTTTTCACAGATTTATAGAGTAGTATAACTTAATTTACCGTTACCGAAAAGTATTTGGAGTAAACATAAGTAACATTTCAGCACCATAACAGTTATTTTGAAAACACTGATCCAACCATTATTTTTCATATATACAAGCATTATATATGCACATACATAATGCAATCATAATATGTATCATAATATATGATACATCCATTCAGCCGTTTTTACTCATAGCATAAAAGTAACGGAAATCATAACTATACATATATTTAAGGCGGTTACGTTTTTTCCTCTTACATTAAGAGCCGGTATATTTTTGGATGCAGGTTATTGTTCCAGTGTGATTTTTTGATTTGAATTCCGCTTCTCTGCTCTGTGATTTATACATTTTCAAACAATTAGTCACCCGAATTGAAGACACGTCCTTTGAAAATAACAAATGGTTTCCATTTCACGTCATCGCTCATAAATCGTTCTAAGCTGACTTTAATTAAATATTCATTCAAATATAACAAGTTTTATTCAGAAATGACTAAAAAAATCATCTAATTTTCCTCAATTTAACCTTGTTCTAAAAATCTAAATAAAATAAATATTATTAAAATTAATGGTGGAAATATGAGACTTTTTCAACGAGACTCAGAACGCTATATTAGAGGATGTCTTGTTATTTAGAGGGATGCCTTGTTTTGAAAGCATTTACTAAAATCTGAATTGTATAATTTTATTGATAATCAGAATATTTATGACTTTTGATTATGTTTGATTTCATCAGACGTTCTCTCTGAAGATTTTTTTTCATCATTGTAATGTTAGTATTAAGCTCTATGAGTTCGTTGTTATCTTTACAGATATACTTCTAAGAACTCAAAGTCTTTTATTTATTTATTTATTTATTTATCTATTATTGTATTTATTTTTTCATTCATTTATTTATGTATTAACTTATTTATGTTTATTCAAATTATTTAACTATCTATTCATTTATTTATTTTACTGACCAGCAGCCAACTATGTCTTGTCGTACTAACTATGTTTTTTTCTACTACTCACAGGATAGCTCTGAGATGTTAATTGAATTAAAAAAAACTTTAAACGTCTATACATAACTATATGGAAATTGTTATCCAGCTTATTAACTTTGGTAATATTTCGCTAGTTTAATGAGATCCAGATTGTGCTAGATTGTGTTTCATTAAACTACATGTCATGTTCTTAATAACCTTTATATAAAACAATCTTATTATTCCCATTATGTGGCTGAAGGTTAATTGTTACTTTCAACTAAATGCATATGAAAATTAGTTTGGCTCTAGTTTAATTACCGTCATAGAAAAAGCATTGGTCTGATTCATGTAAAAGGATAAGTGGCACGATCTTGTAGTCTTGTTAGTGACTAAGGCCGACATGTTCCTTAGACACCTGTTAATTAATAGCCATTGAAGACAATGGAAACTAAGGGACCTACAGTTTTTTTAGTGGAAACCGAACCACATTTTTCTTGTAATTAACGAATTGGTCTAATTATCAGGATGGTACTGCGGATAGTCGTAGTACTCACTATTGCGGACGTTAATCTACACCAGGGAGTATCACATCCACAGTGCATGCCTATAAATATCCTCAGTTCCTCAGTTTGTGACCTCCTAGTAGCTGTATTACAGGACGACACCACCGTCCTTAAAGCCTCCTGCATTAAGTATATTCTGCAATATTAATATAACGATTGAGAAAAAAAGGAACGCAAATTACTGTACATGCTGTTTACTAAATCCTGGAAGCAATTTTAATTATGTTGAATAAGATGACATACATTTGAGGTGGCATTGGGTGAAGAAATTAAAATATCAATATGCTGCTGAAAGAAACAATTTTTATTGAGATTAGTGCTCTGTGGGTGAATAACATCGGGTTTACTTTAAAGATCGATTAATGCATATGTTTTTCCACAAACAAGAAAACGATTTATTTTGTCTATCAAATATCAATTTAGTGTACGAGTGACTTGCATTGGAAAGGCTATTAAGAATAAAGTTTGATAATAATGTCTACTAACTAAACCATTTACTAGACAGCTTGTAATTCTACCTACCCATTCTTCTTAGTTGCTTTATTAAAACACAGCATCCTAATGTTAACCAGTGTTGCGATCAAGGATAACACATGCATTGAAGGCCAAAAAAGAATATACAGTATTTTGTGTTGCAAGTGAACATTCCAAGTTAATGTCCATGTCCAATTAACAATGTTTAAGGTGAAATTCTTTCTTATTCGTGAGTAGAAAGTAGAAAGTTCAGGTATGAGTATGCAGCTTGAAGAATCTGTAAAAAAGTTACATGTCAAACCTAGGTAGATAACCATTAGAGGGTGTTTTGTAATTAACATTTTTTTCCAAAAACACCTCGTTATAGAGATATCCGCCATTTTGTCTTTGATTATGTACGGAAAGTAAATAAAAATAAAACGGTAAATATACAGGGTGAGGCAGTAAAACGGCACAATTTTGAAAAATTACAAATAATTCATTTAGAAAAAAATATTTGTTTTAACATAAATCCTAAGTACAGTTGTTTTAACATAAGTCCTATGTACATGAGTGGAATGAAAATTAATGTTTCACCTTTAAAATAATCATATTTATTAATACAGTGTCAGTAAAATGGCGTACTTGGTTGCACACATTGTTGAATTAAGAATTAAAATCAGCCCATGACGTTTTTTAGCGTTTGCATAACGGCTGCAATCGTTTTAGCGAATTTCCCTATAGGACAAATACCTATTACCGTAGGTCTTGTGGTAAGACCTAGGCCCGGGACCGATTTACTTTTTCATTTTGATATATGTACTCAGAGGCCAAAAACACCATTTCATAATTATATATATGTGTGTGTCCGTGCGGATGATAACTTGAGAGATTTTTGTCCGATTTTGATTACATTTGGTTTGAAGGTGTAAGGTGGGATAAACTCGAATGAGTTCGCGAACCAGCACGATCGAACCGTGGGAACGGGGTTTAACAAGTGGTTTTATGGGGTAAAATGGGGTTTTCTAATTTTTACCCTTAAAAAACAAAATTTTTCAATTTTTCTTCAGACCTTTTTAAAGAGTAAAAAACAAATAATTTAGTATGTCAAAGTGTTTTTGTACGGTGATTGGTTACGCAGAAAATTCAAAAAAATTTTAATTTGAAATTCTCATGTTATTCTTATGGAGAATTTTAATTGTAAAATGTTGTTTATGGACATATTTTGATCAAACTTGGCGGATTTAGTTATTTCATACTAAGCTATCGATATTTTAATAAAAAAAACACACTTTATTGGTTTCCCTGTAGCAGCTAAAATCGTTAAACATAAATTTTAAATAGATTAATTGAAAATTAATCCAGGCAAATAGAAATTCGCTTAGTCAGCAGGGTTGCTGCAGGTTGGTGGCACTTTTTCATGCTAGCAGTGGCTCCAAAGTTATACATTTAAAGGAGGATAGCTTTGCTTGATGGCACGGGAGCCCGTGGCGATAGACTGATCTCACAATGGAAAGTGCGCTGAGTACCCATAATATCCACGATTTTGTAATACTGTATATGCATTTACATCAAACGCGTGTTGTCCAACTCTCCATGGCTACTGAAATTTCCCCTTGTCTAGACACCTATGGTAATTTCCCCCTTACTCTATTAGCCCCCCAATTCCTTGTCAGCTGGTATCGTAATCGTGCCGCTTCACTGCCTCACCCTGTACATAAAATATAGTAAGTGATTTATTAGTAAGATGATAAGTTGTTTGTATATTTACCGTCTTAGGCGTAAATAGGCCTATATGTTTTAAGAGGTATCTGACGTACCTTTCATTTACTTTCTGTAAATTTAGTCACGTACCATAATGATCAAAAAGTTATTTAGGTATGTATATTTTTATTTTTTAAACTACTTAAGAAATCTTTATGAAATTCTGTGTACAATTTTAAATAAGAACAAACCTTTGCAAAAATAATTATTAACAAATATTTTGTTTAGTATTAGTTAATTTATTTTAATATTAAATTATTTTAATAATAAAATATTTTTATTTTTTAAATAATTTTAATTAATTTAATTGATTTAATTTATTAATTAATTGGTTAATTGGTATAATTAATATTAAAGGTTATGTATTTTCAGTAGAATCGAAACTTGTGACATTTTGATTACCAGACGAGCACATTCTCCACTAAGTGACCCAAGTATGTATAGTATAAGGGATAGT